TGTAGAATTCCGTGCACTAAAGCAGGTGGTATATATATTAGCCACTGTGTTTTAAAGGGTCAGAGCACAGTCCTAACTCCATATACCAAATTCTTTAATATTAAAGAATTCTTCATTTTCCATACACAGAGTATTCACTGATTTCATGCGATTCTGGCGATAAACAGCGATTATATCCCTAACAACTTTCTATCGTCGGTTATTTAACGACGCATCAGGATCCACATTATACGGAGATGAATTTTAGTATCATTCATAATTGTTTAATTAGAAAGGATTTGGAAGTTTAGTGGTCATAGATTAACATTGTATTATCCCGGAATATTGAAGGATTGAAGAAAAACAGGAAGAATCTCAGAATTGTTGGTGTCTAGGGAAATATTCGAAACAAACAATTTAAAAATAGAATTGTAGTTTGTTACGTCTGAACGAAACTCTTCGGTCATAAACATCATTAACAAGTAAGTATTTCTAATCAGTTTGTTTTCTTTGAGGTAGGAACTAAATTTTTAAATATTTATACAAGATTCTCTGTCTATGGCTTTAAAGCCTTTGTGGGTCTTGGATGATTTTTTTGTTTTTAATTTATATATAGGCGATAGGACTCCTCGGTCTGATGATCAGCCCTGTCCCAAGGCCGCTACCTACACACAGAACAACACAAACACAGAATAAACCTATGCAGACATTAATGTTTCGAGAGGGACTCGATCCAGTGATCCCAGTGTTCGAGCGGGAGAAGGCGGTTCATATCTTAGACTACCCGGCTACTGTAATCAGCTTCTACACAAGACTGCTACACTTTATTCTGCGATTCCAACTGAACTTCCGTCCTGAAATAATTACCTACTTAATCCGTTCCCCTTATACCTTTCCGTGTCGAGGTCTTTCTTTTCATTTTGATTATTTCACAGACTTTAGAACTCCTTGGGCGAGTGATCAGCCCGTCGCAAGGCTTCTACCTAAACACGGGACAACACAAACACATAATAAACGCATACATACACCAAACATCCATGCCTTGATTGGGATTCGAACCCACAATCTCGGCTTCCGAGCGAGCGAAGACAGTTCATACCTTATACCGATCGGCTACCGTGACCGGCCCTGCAATAATTATTCATCTTATTTTGTGTTTACAAATTTCATTCACTACTGTAACGACATTTGCTTTCAAAACACCCTGTGACTTACTCTATCGACTTTCAGGTTCTGTAGCCGTTCATGCAGTATAAATCCGAATAACGCTGCTAATTTCCTGTTACTGCTTTCAGTTGCACATTTGACATTTGCTAAAACTTATTAGCAGTCCGAAGCGAGAAAGAATCTATTTACATCAGAGCCTGAGATTAGCTCAGCGTTTCCCTCTCACAGAAGCGGATTCAGAAAGCCAGCGAGGAACAATAATAAGAATAAGCGCTTAGATCAGCATCGGAATTAATGGTTTTGATTCTACGTTTGAGGTAAAAGGGACTTTATAGAGAGGCATAACAAACATCATACGTAAAGAAACATTCAAAAGATTACTCAGAATTCCACACAAAGTTATTCATAAATGTTCAAATGTTTTAGATGCAAGAGAATTGTAAACAAACTTTAAATGTNGCCATATCCCAGAAGACGACTTTCTTCATAGTCATCGTCGTGAAAACCTCAAAACTTACGAACTTTAAATGTATTTTCATCTTTAATTTTAGAAGCTTACAGATATTTCTGTGTTGTAATTTATAGTTTCACCTTTAGAATTCTCTTACCTTCCCATGAACGATTATACTAATTGTTATGATTGAATAAAACTTATTTATACACGATTTCTACTTTCTGGTTATTTTAAACGAATGCAGCAGGTTCATCCTACGAGACTACAAGGCGTCGCATGCCGGAATAAAATAGTCTTTAAACAAATTTATATTTCAATACCAATAAATACGTGGTAACTAATAATCATATTGTGGCATGTAGACTCGTTGATAAGCAACAACTGAGAAACAAAAATTAAACAACGGCTGTTACTAGGTGACGGCCTGTAAACAGCAACAGAGGAATGGTGTTTTCTGCCCTGTCCGTTCCGATGGTTGTGCACGAAACAATTGATAGAGTAGCAGAGGAAGGGTGATTTGTGTGTGGTCCGTTCCTAGATGTTATAAGGAGGACAATTAGTGATAGTGAGTGCAGTGCAATGCAGTACAGTGGAGTAAAGTGGAGAGATTTGGTTGATAAGTGACTGAGTTAGAGGACTTCTGCTGTTCAGTCCTTGTGAGCCGTTGCTGCGAGAAACTGGTAGCTGAGGCACAGGGGCAGTTGGGGGACCCAGAGTAAGAGGAACGTCCACCATTGGAAGCCGTTAGCAGGCAACGATTGATGAAGATACAGCAGACTGAAAATACTTAATATGTGTGTTCTACTGAAATTTAAAATTGGGAAATAGCGAAGGAGTTATAGTTACTTGTAATTACTCTATGTAAGTTGTCAATAAATCCAATTAGCAATCCAAACCCCGTCTATAGTCACTCATACATGTGACACTATTATAACTACACATTTTCAGGCTGAAGTCTTAATATTCTCTATGTTCGTAAGGGAATTTGGCTCTATCTAAAGTCTAAGCTCATAAGAGCTCAGGATATTTTGGGGGCTTACAATGGACCCAGTAGAGTTCTTGAGTGCTTCAAGCGAGTAGATGTTACTCCTTTTCATGTCAGTACGCTCTAAGCTCGTAGAAACCTGGAAATATCTACACATCGACAGAAGGCAGTAATTTACCTTAGTCTACTTACGATCGATTTTCTGTTGGTACACATCACTGAACTGCTCTTTCATTAGTGAGGGAATGCCTCTGAATGATTCTACTGGAACCAGTACCCAAGTCAGTGAAGCTGGATGAGCTAGTGGCTGAAGTGGCAACGAGGGAATTAAGTCCCCGTGCAGTGGATAGCAGAGAGGAGTGTCGTCTTCTTTACATGAGGATGCCCGAGCCACTAATTGGAATCAGTTTGCGAATTTCACCCCGAGAACTAAACTTCAGAAAGACGGTCGTGTATGTTCCAAATCAAATTTCATTACGTGAAAACTTCAGAAATATCACAGGAAAATATTTATCCGTTCCTGCAATTTTACTTGTTTATTTAATGTTTGCTAGAAAATATTGTGTTTATAGACCCGTTGCTAGGCAACGACTGGGAAACAAACAACGCGCCAACAACAAAAGTACTGTTGGAAGCAATGTTTTCTAAGTGGTCTGCTCCGAGGCTATATCACTCGACCGAATGGGGGGCAGTACCGGGTGAGTGAGTCAGTGAGTGAGTGAGTCAGTGAGTCAGTTAGAGGTCTCCTGCGGTTCAGTCTTTGTGAGCTGTTGATAGAAACTGGTAGCCGAAGCACGAGGGTAGTTCGACAACCCAGAATAAGAGGAATGTCCGCTGCCGAAAGCAGTTACCAGACAACGACTGGTGAAAACACAATACACTAAAGCACGTACTAAGACGTTTCAGTCTGCTATGTTTTCACAAATCTCAATCTTAGCATCTCGCTCTGTGGGAAAAAAGCAATCTAAAAGTGTTCAAAAAGAAAGCACCATGGAAAGTATTAGGAATAATAGTGCAGAAATCCGAAGAATTCTCACGGGCCGTGGGGGTAAGAATGGGAAAATGAGTTGCTAGGAGAGGAGGGATTCTTCCTCCCTGTAGCAACCTACACTGCCTATCAGCGCTTCTCGCCTAACGCCGCAAAACGAGTGGAGGGGTGGGGCATAGGAAGGCAGGGTAGAAGGAGAACAGGTTCGTAACATGGGTATGAAGAGAGTTGCATAATGATTGACGTACCGCTTACATTTTCAGGATTGAAACTTGTAAATGTGTAGGAATCGACTGAATTGTATAGACATATTTTAAATAAGATAGGTCTCTCGGACCTAAGGTAGAGAGTAAATTGGTAAAGAAATAGCGCCCAATGTGGGCTCCAAGTCTTCATCCTCCATCCTGCGTCTCAGTGACCCTTCTCCCTTGGAACCTGCCTGTATATTTTTATGAATTTAGTGGATATATGTATATGGGATTTGGAATGGTGATTGGATTTATCGGACTTTTATAAGAGTAGCAACAAGCTTAACTAATTTACACACTTTTTAGTTCGCTACAATACGCACTAAGTTTTCCCTGGCTTCACTAAGTGTTTCTTGGTAACGGTTCCGAACATCATAGATTTCTTAGCTTCCATGTTCATGTCTTCACGGCTACAGACTGTCTCGTAGCTCCTCATGACCTCATCTCTTAACTGTTGACTCTCTCTGGCCACCACTGGTTACCACTCGCTTCAGACTTCAACTCGTCTTTCTCATCTGTATGAAAACCGCAACTAGCTTCATACAGACCCAAAGGAGGGTATTACCTGGAACATTTTCTCTATTGTTGTGTGTGTATCTGTTGCGGCTGCCACATGATTTGGTTGCCGTGGAAACATGTCTACAGAACCCCTGCCTAGCAATAGACATCCTCTGTGGTTCTCCTATTCCGACTTTTGGCGAACATGTCACAATATAGTAGGTCTAAAACTTCTTTCAATGCACGTCATAATACGAGTAGGCAACCTTAGAGAAAAAATGTCTTATGTGTTCAGTTGGATCTCCGGTATTGAACTCTAGTTCCGTTTTCATGCTGAAAATAAAATCTAGAAACTTTCTACTGACAGCATAACAATTTATCTTACTATCTGGTGTTGACGCACATTCAGAGATGTTTTAGACTTAAAATAACCGAACCAATTCCTCAATTTACAGATTTTAATCCTGAAGATGGGTTCCGTATGTTCCTTTGGAACATCATTATCCACCTACACAACCCAGTTGACCACATTGTGAACTGTGAATGGAGTTCAATGGTTATTCTCTGAAAGTACGAATCCCTCTAAAATTGCTTCGCTTTGCCTTTGTAATGTGCAAATAGGAACTGAGCCCCATTCAATTTAATGCCATTACTAATTCCCTACTTCGGTTCTATTTGCAGTCATGGGACGCGGTGCGCCGGAGAAGTGGCTGCTGCCAGAGACAACGGCGTGTGTGGCGTCGGTGTTGCTTACGACTCCAAAATTGCAGGTGAAGTTGCCATAGCGACTGATTATGTGCGTCTGCCTGAAAGAAAATAAATCTAATCCCCTTACTAAAGCACGACTTTGATTCTGAGATTGTACAGTTCGTAGTTTAAGGAAGTAGAAGATTATTATTACCTCGTTACCGCGCAGATTCAACTAGCGGTAAAGTTCTAGAACTGTATTCAGGAGATGATTGGTTCGATTCTAGGCCAGGACTCCAACAGTACTGACTGAAATTTTTATGGATTTTCCCATCTCCTCAAAGAAAATACTGGAATAATAATTCGATTAGGCTAGTACCTGTTCCTTTCAATTTTCAAAATCATTATCCATCAGTCAACACATCAATAACACTACACAATCTAGATCATAGAAATGTTCTGAAATATCCTCCTAGACATATACAAGGGAGAATCAATAGAAATGCTACAAATGGATACAAAACGTAAAACGTGACTTTCGAACTGGAAAAACAAATGTTTATTTTCCTACATATCCTCCTCCAACATTGGTATACACTTGTCACATTCCTTTACCAGTGCGGCAAAATCCTCAACATAGGAGTCTCTGACTCTTTTCTCAGCTACCTCCTTTTATAATGAATAATAAATAACGGAATATCTTTTATGTATTTGAGGTATTCGAATGCTGGATCAGCCGTACATGACTGATCTGATTGAAGCCAATTCAATGGGACACGAACCGAACCTTATAGACATATACAGCGCGTCATGGGGACCAACAGATGATGGGAAAACTGTTGACGGGCCGAGAAACGCAACCATGAGGGCCATCGTAAGGGGAGTGAATGAGGTAAGGTTTGTCAATCCGCATGATTTTTTAATTATGTTGATAATTAAAACTGTACGCTTTTACATTGAGTTGAGAGACCAATCGAATCTCAAGGTCACGTAGACCATCTGTTCCACGAAATATTGCATATATTGCATTTCGTGGAGACAACCTTACGGAAGAAAATCCATGTGTAAGCATGTTTCAATTTCCCACCGAAGTATGAATTCCATAAGCTCATTTCTTCTAAACTTGTTAAACGACGTTGTCAGTGTGGAGTCTCTATGACATCGACGAGAAATTGATTAGTAAATGTGGAGCAGCTGATGACTTGAGAATTGGCAGGGGAAACAAAATTACTGCGAGGAAAAGTATCTCAGTGCCACTCTGTTCAGGTGAAGAAATGTTTGACCCTATCCAACACCCCTGCTGGCGCGCAACCCCTTGTTGATTATCCCTGATCACGTATCTACACATTAGCTGCTGTCCTCAACACTTGAAGGTATTTCCACTATTCGCAACCCAAAAATGCACCTCATCGTGGAAATCTATTTGCAAATTGGCTCATGCTCTAATGCGTCTGACTTATATCCTGAAGGTGCCTAGTTTGAATACCGGTTAAGGGTACGGTCTATCTTGAGTTAAGAATTTCCATGGGTTTCCTCAGCCCTTCCAGATAAATACCGGCACAATAATTTAGATAACGACAGCTTCCTTCCATGCCGTTTACGATTCAAGGCTACTTATCATCTTTCATACGGCGCCATATAAACGGAGCTGCTCACAGCATCATCATGCAAGCCGCAAGCAGCATGGGAAACCTGATGGAACGAGAACATTTGGAAGATCTAGAATGTATTACAGTGGATCCTTAAGGAACAAGATATGAAAGTTAAGCTTTTCGCCTTCTCCGTTAAACGGATCATCATTTAATATCGTCCATTGTCTACAATGCGGTTTGTATTGGTAGGGATACAACTGCCGTAGTTTTTCGTATTTCTTTCCCAAATATTCTTGTCAATCATCGTGATAGATTATTGTTATTATTATTATTATTATTATTATTATTATTATTATTATTATTATTATTATTATTATTATCATCATCATCATCATCATCATCTGTGTTTGTTGGTTTATTTTTCTGCATTAATGTGTTTTCCCTCCAGTGCTTGCCTGTGTTTCGTGTTTGTCTCTCTATTGTGCCTGTTCATCATATCTACACTTTGTTGTGTCTGTAATTGGCCTTGTGGCTGTTGACTCGGCACATAAGTAACAAATAACTGAATTGAATTTAATTGAATTATTTTCTTTTTTGTTTTATTTTTCTTCATCAGTGTATTTTCCCCCACTGCTTGCTTGTAATTTGTCTCTGACTTTATATTGTGTTTGTCCATAATGTAATTACTTGTATCTACTCTGTGCTTTGTCTTTAATTGGCCTTGCGGCTGTTGACTCAGCACATAAGTAACAAATAATTGAATTGAATTGAATTATTGGAAGGCGTATGTATTTCTGTATCCTACGATCTTGTTTTAGAAACAGATTTCGCTGGTTTGTGTTATCTCAGTTATTAATTTTCTGGATATTATCCGTCGTCCTGCATTAGGACAATGGAAAATGTCCAGAAACATGATAACTGTATGGGTACATCAAGGTCATAGACTTTAAGATCTGTGTTATTTCATGCGCTCTCCTATTAACGTGGAGGCACGCGGTAGGGTGGTTGGTTGAGGGGCTACGCTACAAGCCGGAAGGTCGCGGGTTCAAGTCCCGATGAGGTCATTGGATTTTTTCAATTGACCCAATCCTTCCAGCCGCACTACGGCCCTGGAGTCGCATTTGATATTTCAACAAATTCTATACTTATTCATATATTAGTTTTGCTGTAATTAATTGTTGGATTTAATTTTTATACCGTTACCATAAAATGAGGCTATTAAATCTTAATTTTTTGAGGATGTGAAATTACCGGTTTCCATATTGTCATATTACAGAATTCAAATAAAATATAACAGTTCATGTCCGTGAATGAATTGCACATGCCACTAATAATTATATAATATTTTTGTTTTGAGTAATTTTAATTATTTAAACAAAATTTATTATGAAACATCAATATTGAAAATTATATACATTGTGATTCTAAATTATTGTCGGGGAGAAAAGAATAAAACTGCCTAATTAATATGAAGTTATAAGTTTTATTATTATGGAAACAACTTTTTTAGTTAAATTTTCATATTCTAACCGGTCACGGCAGCCGAGCGGTCTAAGGCATGCACTGTCTTCGATCGCTTGGAAGCCGGGATCGTGGGTTCGAATCCCACTCAGGGCATGGATGTTTGTGTGCGTTTTACTGAGTTTGTCTACAGGTAGAGGCCTTGCGAAGAGCTGATCACTCGCCCAAGGAGTCCTACCGAATGTGTAAGATCTAGTAAACTGAAGTGAAACCGAGAGTTTCATGGAAGTAGGCCTAGGCCCAAATTGGGGCTGTAGCGCCAAAGAAAAAAAAATTCATATTCTATGATCAGTTTTATTTAATATAGCCAGCTTTATAGGCCACGGAAACCTAGAAAATAATTTAGTATCACGCTGTATTTTCATCTATTAGCAACCTCTCTGGATAATTTCACATGGAATCGCTTTATAGCGATTACCTAAGTATTAGGCAATTATGGTTTAGCTCCCATCAGCAACTGGGGGTCACCTCTTCATTATCATATGGCCATAGGCCGCGCAATAGCTCAAGCGGTTAATCGCCGGTTTCCCAACGCGGCTGCCCGGGTTCGATCCCAGGTCTGGTCAAGTGGGAATTGTGATGGACAAAGTGACACTGGGGCGGGTTTTCTCCGAGTACTTCGGTTTCCCCTGCCAATCTTCATTCCACCGAATTTTCCATCATCATAATCACCCGGGGCAGGCTACAATAGGCCAATGAGTGGCCGCCGTGCCAAGTGGACCCAGCTGGACTCCACCCCCAACTAGCGAATTAAAAAAAAAATATCGTCATTGTCATCTCTTCATAATACCGGAACCTGAACCCGAGTATTCATTTTCATTTAGTGTCAGTGCTAAGAATGCTTAGAATTGTGTCTGCATTCCCCCATGCGTGTACGCGAAGTAGTGCTTAGGAGCAAGGAAACTCTTACTCTACACGCCTGGGTCCATAACCGAATGGCTCATGCTTCTTTCCTATCGTATGAATGTAGTTTCAAAATTTCTTCAACCCTACCCAATAACTTCAAATTTATTTCTGGGCGTCATATGAGAAACGGAATATCTGAGGAACAGCACGTTCGTAAATTTAATTTCAATTTGTTCGCTTCTACGGATTCAGATATTATATTATCTTTAAAATATTTTCGAGGGGTGCGTCACACATTGAGTAAGCAACGTTTCGGTAAAGGAGCCTCATATATTCATCGAAATATGCGGCATTGGTTCTCAGTGTAATTTTAAAATTGACTCTAGTAATTTTACAATGATGTAACGATTTGTTTCACAATTTAATAACGATACACTCTTAGAGATATCTCAGATGCACAATATAATGACAAATGCAACGTTACGTGGTGCATACAGGAATAACTGGAACAGACGTGTGGGGCTGAATTCTTCATTACATTAACTAAACTAACTTCATGGAGCTTAGCCCTTCTTCAGAAGCCACCAGTTGTGCAGTTACTCAAGAAATTCTCAACATTTAGTTGAACACTTAGGTTATTACCGTATTCACAAGAACTTTCCACTGGTCCCTCTCCTGAGCCAGATCAATCCAGACCATAGCACCTCATCCTATTTCTCTAAAATCCATTTTAATAATATTCTCACATCTACGTCTTGTTATACCTAGTGGTATCCTTCCATCCGGCTTTCCCACCAATATCTTACATCTTACCAATCTTACCAATATCTCCCCATTCGTGCTATCTCATCCTCCTTGACTTGATCATTCTAATTATATTTGGCGAAGAGTACAAGTTATAAAGCTCCTCATTCTACAGTTTTCTCCAATCTCCTGTCACTTCATCCCTCTTCAGTCCAAATTTTCTCCTCAACATCCTGTTCTCAAACACCCTCAGTGTATGTTGCTCCCTTAATGTCAGAGACCAAGTTCCACACGCATACAACACCACAGACAAAATTAAATTTTTTTATATTTTCTTTTTCACTACACACAGTGTTGTTATTCTTGGGAGTAAGATTATGATGTTGTAGCATATGAAGTCATGAAATTTAATATTACCAGAATATACGACGTCACATCCCATCCATTTACATCGTGATCGAAATATTTCCCAACATGTCAGATATGAAGCTCTCACTTAGGTGACAGAGTTTATTGTCTCCTCATATGTGATGTCTTGTAGTCTGGTAAGTCGCTACCAAATTTTATGAGGCAAAATTTGCCTCTTTCTTTAGAATGAAAGGGTAAGTTTTGCTGAAAAAACTGTCAATGACACACTGAATTAACGTGATTGAACCTCGCAACTTACACTTTTACCCCGAAGAAGGAAGCAGTAGAAATTTGCGGAACGTTAGTAATATTCTACCAGGATTCAAGATGCCACATCCCCAAAAATGACAATCTTATGAAATCATTTTTATGCTTTAGTTGTCCTCTAATATTCTTAAATCCTCGCGGTGTGAATACTGGGACATCTGTCGTTAGGGGAGGCGATGCATTGCAGTTACATTTACTGCCCTTTGAAGAACAAAATGATTCTAGATATAAGTGTATATAAACTCTGATAGTTATTAATGGACATTAAATCATATAGAAGCTGAGAGCAAGCACTCCCTTTTTATCGTTACTTACAGTATTAAGTGCTTTGTTTTATAGCAAAAGCACTTAGTAAACACTGTTTGGTTCGGTGCAATTTATTTTCTTATTCTCTATTTATTCTTTGTTATAAATGTTTTATTATACCGTTATCATTGCAGTAATATGTCAGATTTTACTGGTATTCTATTTAAGTATTTCAGAATTGTCTGTCTTCTCTGACTCCAATGAGTAAACGTAAAGATTAAAATATACAGAAATATAATTTACACAATGTTTCGTATGGGTTTATAATATAGTGTCTCATATTAAGATATGAACCGTTTCGCCCAAACACTGGAATCATGGGTTCGAATCCCACACAAGGCATGAATGTCTCTGTGCATTTATTCTGTGTTTGTGTTGTTCTGTGTGTAGGTAGCGGACTTGTGACGGGATGATCCCCCGTACAAGGAGTCCTACCGACTGTGTAGAGGATTAAGAAACAGAAAAATTATCAAGGTCCAAAAGGCTATAGAGCCTTAGAAAGAAAAGGGGGAAAAAGGCATGAACAACGACTAAGTGTGTTTGAAAACATGTACTGAGGAGAATTTTAGACATGAGAGGGAGGAAGTAATATGAATCCGGGGAAACGTACTTAACGAAGATCTTCATAACATGTACTCCTCGCCAGGTACAGTTTCATTCATTCATTCGTCAATGGCTCTACAGCCCTTTATTGGGCCTTGGCCTCCTGCTTAGTTTGATAATCCTATACACAGTCGGTATGACTCTTTGGACGGGGGATCAGCTCATTAGCAAGGCATCTACTTACAAACAGAACAATACAAACACAGAATAAAAGCACACGAACACCCATGCCTCGAGTGGGATTCGAACCCACGATCCCAGGTTTCGAGCGGGCAAAGAGAGTTCATGCTTCAGACGGCGCGGCCACTGCTATGGGCGAGATCAGATATAATTATGGTTATTAAATCAAGGAGAATGAGATGGACAGATCATGGAGTACATGTCTAAGACAAATTCATGCAAGTCTTTCATAGGAAAATATGGGAGAAAGAGACCATATCGAAAAGATAGGCGTGGATGAGAGGATAATATTAATATGGATGTTAGATAAATAGGATTGGAGAGTGTCGACTAGATTTATCTGGCACAGGATAGGGACCAGTAGCGGGCTGTCATGAACACCGTAATAAATCTTCGGGTCTAATAAAATGCCTGGAATTTCTTAACTAGATGAGCAAGAATAAACGTCTAAAAGGACTCCGTTCCATTGAGTTAATTCAGTTATCAAACATTGCCCTTGTTTTATATCTAAATGCCTTGCAGTAAGGGGAACAGCATTTTGTGATAGGACCTTTCATTTTTTATTACTGATCCATAATTAATGACTAAATATCTCGTGAATTATGCCCTTACTGAAAATAACTATCACATAAACAGGTGTAAGGTAACGAAACCGAGCACTTCAGATTGTTAGTTGTGACACTATGTAGTTTTGCAAATAATTACCATTGTCTCGGAGGAACATGTAGCTTCCATCTTCAGATTCAATTCAGGATTTTCACCGTGTAGTCTTCTACATGTATATTAACTTTTCTGTTAGAAGACTTCATTTTCAAAGTCAACTTCCAGTCGCGACGCCATGTAGTCATGTAGGTGTATATGTGACTTTGCGTTCTACTTTTTGCCGTCTCTGTGTTACATGGTTTAATATTCTCTCGTTAATATCACTACATGTTTCGTCCTAATCGGCCATCATCAGGTGTATAGGTTGCTGTGCTGCTGCTCACTGTAATGTTGTTCTACTCTTCTTATGTAATTGCCTCGGACTCTTTGTAGGTTATATCGCATTGTTGGCATACATGTGTTTGGCTTATTTTAAGGTATATTATTTACTTATTCATGGAGCTGAGCTCTTCTGGAGGACCCGCCATTTCTACAGCTACTCAAGAATTTCCCAGCATTTTATGGAACCCGAAGGTTCATTACCGTGTTCACAAAAGCCCTCCACTGGTCCCTATCCTGAGCCAGATCAATCCAATCCATACCATCCTGTCCTATCTCTCTAAGATCCATTCTAATACCGTCCACCCACCTACGCCTTGGTCTTCCCAGTGGTATCTTTCCTTCTGGCTTTCCCACCAATATCCCATACGCATTCCTCATCTCCCCTATTCGTGCTACATGCCCTGCCCACCTCATCCTCCTTGATTTGATCATTCTAATTATAATTGGAGAAGAATACAAGTTATGAGGCTCCTCATTATACAGTTTTCTACAACCTCCTGTCACTTTAAGGTATATATTTTTGTATAATCTGTCTCTGCGTATCCGATGTTACTTACAGTTTTGTTGAATCCTGTAGATGGAAGCAGCGCATTCTGCCGTCACGTATGTTATCACGTATAAGACTGAAAGATATCACAACCCACGAGATCTCTTACAGAAGCGAAACTGTTTTGTTCAGGGCCGTAACGGTCTGGGGAACATCTACGTCTGGGCCAGTGGTGATGGTGGTGAAGATGATGATTGTAACTGCGACGGATACGCTGCAAGCATGTGGACCATCTCCATTAACAGCGCCATTAATGATGGTCAGAACGCACATTATGACGAAAGCTGTTCCTCTACCCTGGCCTCTACCTTCAGCAATGGAGCTAAAGACCCCAACACCGGTGTGGTAAGTTCGTTTAAAATTTTGAAACCTATTTTCATTATGTAACACTTTAATCATTCACGACGAATAAATATACTAAATTCTTCTTGGGCGATCATTCTTTTAAATACTGAGTTAATAACTTTTCATGGATTTCCTTGATGCCATCATCATGGTCTGTGTGGCAAAACCGTTTTTTTAATTCGCTTAGTAGTGGGTGGAGTCCAGCTGGGTTCACTCGGCACGGCAGCCACTGATTGGCTTATCATACCTGCCCCGGGTGATTATGATAATGCAGAATTTGGTGGAATGAAAATTGGCAGGGGAAATCGAAATATTCGGAGAAAACCCGCCCCAGCGCCACTTTGTTCACCACAAATCCCACTTGACCAGACCCGGGATCGAACCCGGGCAGCCGCGGTGGGAAGCCAGCGACTAACCGCTTGAGCTACAGCGCGGCCGGAAGATAACCTTATGTTGTCCATGTATATTTTCACGTTTTAGTGACTAGACGCGGGATTTGGATCAGTAATTGGACTTATTGGGTTTATACAACTCGTAACTACAAGTAATTATAACGCTACTGGTAACCTACCCACTTTAAATGTTACTATATCACACGCTAATTCTTCATAGCTCGTGTTCAGTAGCCGTTGCTAGATTACGGTGCCAAACAATATATTCTTCAGCTTGTGTTCAGAGGTTCCTGCCCTCGCTGGCTGGCGACTCCAATATTTAATCCATGAGAGGAACTCTCATTCTCGACTGATTTAGAACTCCACTTAGTTCTCATTATTTAGCTTCGACACGGACCGTATATGAAACACTGCTTCCAACAATACCCCCTGTCCTTGTGTGGTTATTTGTAACCGCAGAAACATGTTTACCGTGTCGTTGCCTAGCAATGGTTTCCTTTTTTGGGTCTGCTATCCCGCTTTTCACCCGTCATGTTACAATATTCACCTTCCAACATGTTGAAGGAGAAAACGATCAGTGAAAAGTTGTTATTTAACTGAACCTTGACAACTTCTGCTCACCCGTTCTGTAACTAGCCAAGCGCTTGGTTAGATTTGAAACCCTTGCCTTAAAACTGAAAATATGACACTGTGCTTTGCCGAGAGAATTTATCGCATAACCGAAAGAGTTATAAGACTGCACTTTGTGCTTCATACATCTGAGTTGCGACTTAGCATTGAAGTCTTATGGGGCAATCAGTCACGTAGTCACAGAGTAAATTTCCGACGTTTCGATTACTGCATTTAAACACAAATTCATCGACAAGCTGTGTACAGATACAGTAAGCATTCACGCCATGTAATATTGCTTCTGTACTTTCCATTACTAATCATCGGGCTAAGAGGAGTAAAAATCCGACGTTTCGGAAACAAATTCTGACCTCACTATCATCATTTTCATTAATTATCGATAATACGGATACTCTCTCTACCTACGTCATCATTAACTTAATCAGACACCTTAGCATGGAGTAAAATTCCGACGTTTCGAATATATTTTCAGTCCCCATAATAAGTAGTCAGCAGTCGACATGGAGTAGGAACTTACTTTTCAGAAGTTTCTTCTGCTATGTCCTCAGAGAGGAGATGTGTCAACACGCAATAAAAGTCCGACGTTTCGGAGACTGTGAATACCTACATTACCATCAATGAAATTTACTTCTTCTGCAGGCAACGACGGATCTGTATGGAAAATGTACGACGACGCATTCCGGAACGAGCGCCGCTGCACCCGAGGCAGCTGGAGTATTCGCACTGGCTCTGGAAGCAAAGTAAGTGACACAACTTCTCAAATATTGGTACAAAATATTGACAAACTAGAATTATATCTTAGAGCAAAGTAAGCGATATCACTTCTCTAGTTTTCGTAAAATACAGTGATAGCGTAGGATTATTTCCTTCGATTCTATTAATTCGTTCTAGCTGTGAAAGTACTAACTACATTCTTCATCTCTCGAGATATAAAGAAATTCATGGGCATGTGATTTGTTATCATGCAGTTTCAGGTTATCATAGAAACAAATTATGGAATATGTTGCATGAAGGCAAGTTACGTATTACGTTACGGAAAATCAAACCTTTTTTGTTTTAGTGTATCGTGTTTATTTTGTGAGTATTCACAAAATATAATATGGATATGTGAAGTGTAATACACTTCGTAAAGAAGAAGATTTAAGATTGATTACATGTGAGTGCTACTGATGAGAGATAGCTTTAAACTTCGGCTTCGACGCATCAGTCGATGTAAGACAGGAAAGAAATACGGGTCAAAGAAGGGGAAGTTAATATTACAAAAATGTATACAAAACATTATAGAGATTTCGCATTGGATTCTCGACGAGTGCTACACTACTAAAGCAATGTGTCTGCTTCTAGCCCTCAGCTCACGTGGAGGGACATCCAGCATTTGACAGTACTCACATCAAAACGGAACTCTTTGTTCGACGCTAAAGGTCGTTTCCACTGGACCATGAATGGCGTCGGGCTAGAATTCAATCACCTGTTTGGGTTTGGAGTCTTGGACGCTGGTGCTATGGTAGCCCTCGCCAAACAGTGGAAGACGGTTCCTGCCAGGTACCACTGCGAAGGAGGAACAGTTTCCGAAACTCAGTAAGTGCAGACCTCTCTCTTGCATGAACCAGACCAAGAGAAGCGATACTGTATAAGGATCAGTCCCTTCTCTTTCCATCTTTAGTACTCCCCTGTATACCCTCTTCTCCGGTCACGGTAGCCGAGCCGTCTAAGGCGTGTACTCTTTTCTTTCGCTCGGAAGCCGGGATCGTGGGTTCAAATCCCACACAAAGCATGGATATTTGGTATGTATATGTGTTTATTCTGTTTTTATGATATCCTGTGTTTATGTAGAGGCCTTGCGACGGACTGATCATTCGTCCAAGGCGTTCTACCGTCTGTAAAATAATCATGAAACTGAAAATCAGAGGATTGTAGAGCTAGTAATAAATAAATATGTATGTGTGTGTATTCACTTGCCCGGATAATGAGCGATATTTCGCCATCAGCATTTTCTTTCCACTTATTATATATGTTAGTTGCTAGGACATATTAGTTCTTTCTCTCTTTTTCATTCCGTCCTAGCTATTTGTTTGTTTCTAGAAAAGATCTATGCACCTCCATTTCTTTTCATTCTGTCTTTCTGGAAACTACCAAAAGCGATTTTCTGTCGGTCCGTTTACTTTTTGTCCTGTCTGTCCAGTGGTTGCTACGAGCACCTAATCTCCTACTTTTCTTCTCTCCTGTTTCTCTGGTGATCGCCAAACTCTGTCTTTGTATCTCAGTGTTTCTTTCGGCCCAATCTGCTACCTTACAATAAAAGTCCATAAGCGGTTTAATGCATACAACGATCTGCGTCGTCGTAGAAAAATGGTAAAGAAAGAATATGCTCATCTGCAAAAGAGAATTCCCATAATATCAGCTTTTGTTGTTACTCATATTGATTCGTATCGAAGCCAAACTCTTGCCCACTGTTTCTCTTTAAGGAGACAAGAGATCGTGACAAAAACGGTAAAATGGTAACAATGGAGTAATGAAACTAAGGGGATCGTTGCTGATATACGAAGGAAAACTCATGATTCTTTTCTATACAGATACAAATAAATTGTTTAATTTGATCTTAAATAAATAGATTTTATACTGTTGATTAGATCCATCTACCACAAGGCATGATGCTGTTTCTACCATTTATAAAGGCGTCAATAAACTTTCAGGATCTATATAAAAGAGAAAATTTCCTGACTGAATTATTAACTATCAGCTTTATAACGAGGGCTGCGCTCCGTGAAGTTATCCTATGCAGCTCCTCCTTTAGGGATTACACCCATTGGACTTATCCCATTCGGTGTTAATCTGAAAGTAGAAACCGTAGAGACTGTAGAAAGGACACCTTTGACGGGGAATCAGCCCTTTGGTAGGGTGGTGTGAACACAGGATAACATAGACAAATATCCATGTCTCGAGTGGGATTCAAGACAATGACCCAAGTGCTGGAAGGGTCGAAGATATTTTGTGTCTTATACGGCATTACCACTGTGATCGGCCATTCGGGGCTTCCATTTCTTGTATTCTAAATTCAGTTCGCATACTGCTAGTGACGCTGGAATTGATTTAAATTGCCCAAAAATGGCCGGGGTTACCTTACGCTTTCCAACTAACACTAAACAGCCCCAAACATTATCTAGCAGGAAATTGCGCTACTTTTTCAGCTGAAGCGCCTTCAGAAATATCCGTGTTCCAACATGTCCTAAGTGACTTTTAACCAGAACAATTAGCAATGTGTACCGCGCAGGTCCTTTATGCTCTCTAGTCGTATAAGGTATAATGCCATGCAGTTTGATAGAAACGTAACAGACGTTTCGGAAGAATCAACTCTCTCCATCTTCAGAGTATCATCCTTCTACGCAGAAGCTGGAGATTGTTCCTCCGAGACGTCGGCTCCTCTCTTCTTACTTCGTGGTTTGACGCAGTCAGTACCTTAGGTTATATAGCGTCGGATAATAGGATAATTCATGAATAATGAACGAAAGGGACTTGTAAGGAGACGGTCGTAGCCTAATTTGAAGTAATTTCTAGCAATTCCAGCAGAAACTGAAGGAAAACTATATAATATTACTCAGGATAGGCTTTCTGTGGAATGAGATTCAAAGCCGGGACCACGTAAATAAGAAATATGAGCTCTGACCTACAGACCATGACGAACGGTGCTTAATCTATTAAGCTACACGTAGTCATAACCTAGGATACCGTAGTCTTGGCAGAAAATTTGATTCCCTTGTAGAGCGTCATAATCGAAGGCGCCTTAGTGGCTTGTTTAGGCTTCATGTTATACAAATGTGTCGGAGAAGTCATCGCTCCATCACGGCGCTAGTGTTCGCTGGCCCATTTGAAATCAAGATGACATAAATAGAAGGAAACGCTGCAAGATTGGTAAGGTAACAAAATGTAAGGTTTCCCTGCGTTTGACTAATTATTCACCACGCCCTGAAGACTTATGGGGAGTGGATGTATAGCTCCACACATTCTTGAACTTAATACTAGGTAGAGATGAAGAATTCAGCTTCATGTCCCTGTTGCTTTGCCCCATGAAAAGAGACCCCATGTCCCTTCATATGAGCTGGCTGTTTCCCAGAGGCGGTCTAGACGCTGGGGAGAAGAGAAGAATCTCTTACTCATGCCGGGTATTGAACCCCAGTTCCTCAAGCCATTCAGCATTAACCAGTTTCTGCACCGTCTGATATCATCTAATTTACAACCATCTTATGTAAACTGGCGAATGCCAGGAACAGCGCTACACTAGCGCATTCGGTAAGAGTAAGAACTAATCTGCATAATCTACTCTAAATGTTACCATGTTACAGAACATCCATCATTCATTGCATGGTTGAATAATTAATACTAAATCAAACACTGGCTCATTTCATGCGCTACCATGTACAATGCTGTTCAGTGAATGGCTGAACTTGTGCATAAGGTTAGAAGTTCATTTCTTAATGAGACAAATAGTCGTTCTATAAAATATGTTGAACTGACAGCTGACTACTTGATATATCTATTTTATACGTCGATTATTCGCGCACTACATTTCAACCAAATTGCATAGTGACATTAAATTTTCCCATTAAACTCCTGTGTTCTTCATCTGTGATTATTGTTTACTTGTGTTACTTCGAAAAGTTATTGTATTCCTAATTAATATAATCCACTTTACAAAGTACACCAGTAAACATTCTGCTTTGAAAAAATGTATGTTACACGATCCTAATTACACCCAGACAGAATTACACTATTGAATTTAATTATATACAGTTTCAACTGGCTATATTTACATTCTAGAGCTCTTATATAAATGTTTATGATATTCTGAAACGACGGTAACTTTCAATATATCTATTTTCATTTACATGAAAATATTCAGATACTCCGCGTGCTTCATTCCGAGGTAATTAGTCTTGTTATCCTGCACAACTATCTATTTATGTATCTAGAGTCCTTTATTGGACCTTGGCGGCTTTTTCGATGTCTTAATCCTATACACAGTCGGTAGGACTGGTTGAACGGGGGAATCAGTCTGTCGCAAGGTTGCTACCTAAACACAGAACAACACAAACATAAAATAAACGCACACAGACATCCATGCCTCGAGTGGGATTCGAACCCACAATCTCAGCTTTCGAGAGAGCGAAAACAGTTCATGTCTTAAAACCCGGGGCCAGCCTGATCGGCGTTATCCTGCACATGCAAGTTACAAATTATCTTATACTGAGAACTCTGCATTAGCGGTTAAGCTCTATACCTGTATTGATGAGGTGCTGATATCGAATCTCTGCTGAAACACTGGCTATCCTGACTGAAGTTTCCTTGTGTTTCCTCAGTTCCTCTAGGCTCTTGCCGGGATATTGTCTCGTTTATGCCACAGGTCATTGTACTGCCTGATGATGCTCTTATGAAAAGCCGAAACATATAAAGAAATTGTGTTTTTAATCCAAAAAACGTAAAATTTAACACGATAAAAGTGCTAGAAAATTATTTGGCATATGTGCTGTGACGACGGTAAGAACCAATATATCTACACAACAGGATGCACTCCTTGTAGATTGCAAAGTTTTGCTCATGTGAGTTCCTTGTCTTGCATATAACGCTGATACATTGCAATCAAAGCACTTAAGGATCAGTCACGTAGGAGTTTCGACTGAGTTCCTACGTGACTGGCTCTTAAGAGTTCTTAATCTCCCCTCTCCGTTAGTGGATTTGCACAGACAACTGCGATCCAATTAACAGAGCTCACGTCTAACAAACAGGACTCTACTAATTTCTCTCAGCATTATAATGGATGTTCTGTTTTCATTTCTTTTGTGATACGTTTGTTCACATTGTCTTTTATCATTTTAAAAAAATATGTCACACAGATAAGCAGTGAAGGGAATTATATTACGTCAGTTTTAGCCAGAAACTTGCAATTATCAAGATAATTTTGAAAAAAAAAAGATGGTAAAAATACATGTATGACTCATTTGACTAGGGCCGTAAAAAGTCATACGTGTATATGAGATCAGAATATAATGTGAGTTTTACATGAAAAGTCATAGGGAAAATAGACTTTTTTTTCTTTTTCCATTGGCGCTACAGCCCTCATTTGGGCCTAGGCCTACATCCATGAAACTCTCCGTTCCTCTTCGGTTTACTAGATCTTAGACATACGGTAGGACTCCTTGGGAGGGTGATCAGCTCGTCGCAAGGCCTCTACCTGTACTCAAACACAGAAAAACGCTCACACACAAACCAAACATCCATGCCCTGAGTGGGATTCGAACCCACGATCCCGGTTTCCAAGCAAGCGAAGACAGTACATGCCTTAGAACCCTCGGCTACCGTGACCGGCGAGATAGACTTTAGTAAACACGAATTCAGAATTAATGTAGAGTCTGCATTTGATCATTGCATACTTTTGGATATGCCGATCACAGATGTCGTGCTGTCTAAGGCACGAACTGTCTCGCCTGCTCAAATATTGGGATTGTGGGTTCGAATCCCACTTGAGGCACGGATGTCTGTGTGCGTTTCTTCTGTGTGTATATAGCGGCTTTACAACAGACTCA